GATTGAGAGCCTCAGTCAGTCGGCACTACCGAATAACTTAGCCATTACAGTACTGTTTATGAAAGAAAACCACCTTTTAGAAACCAGCCTTTTTATTTTTTGACTGGCTGGAACTTATGATGTTTGTCTTTTCTGGTGAATAACGTCTGCCTCCCAGCATTGTAATAGAAGAAATAAGGATTTTATGTTCCAGCCTATACTGTTCACCTCCATTGCGATTCAGGCTTCAAAATTATTTCCGTTCTGAACTTCAGTTCCCAGTTTTGCAAAACTTCTTTGGGGAGAAATTCTCTTCCAAGGCATTTAAGCCAAGTAATATCTTTAACAGTTTTTTGCATTATGAGGGCTGACAAGATATACTATCTCCTAAAGCTAAGACTGTTTTTTCAAGCAGAAAACTGCATGAAATAACTGCAAATGAGACTTATGCTAAAATAATAAATCTTGGAAGTTAAAACTTCCTATGAAATTAGTACCTGCTGAAGAGCACTGTCTTTGTTCTGTCTGAAATATTTGGTGTTTTGAATTTGCAAACGAATGACAATTTTAGAGCACATGGAGTAAATCTTAAATCTTCCAGGACTTTTGAGAAATAATACCACTTATATAGTGCCTCTTCATCAATAAAGCATTTTATCCTGATCAGAATGAGGGCTAGCCAGATATGAGTTAATTAAAAAAATCCAAGGTTTTTCCATTCTGAAGTAGAAGCAAATCCAGCCTTTCAAAACTGCTAATAAAAAGCAGGAGACTGTTAGCACACCATATGTTAAACACATCCAAGCTGAGGGGGATTTGCCTTCAAGCCCAGAGTAGGCCCTGCATTTAAATGTGCCCTAACTACTGTGTTGCTTGCAGTCATTTTGCTCCTGTGGAGGGAGATGTTCACACTGACAGAGATGAGACAGGCTCTGTGGATTTGCAACTGAGCAGTTGGCTGGAAGATGGAAGCATTATTTCTGTATTCCCCTTTTGGCTCATGCAGGTTTGCTTTAGGTCTGGTTTGGGTCTGTCATCTTGTGCAATAGGATATCCTGCCCCTTCATCCATCCCGGTGACATCATGGAAGACAGATGCTCTTCACCTGTTTCTCCTTTGTGAATTACAACATTTACCAAATCCCTGTTGCCTTGCATGGAGCACCAAGAATTTTTTTTCATTTATTCCTTTGCTGCTGGAGTAGAGCACTCTCTCTGATGAAATGGGACATCTCCCTCTGGAGCAGAGAAACTTGCCTGCCACACAGAAATTGTTACAACAGATATATTCCTAGGAAAGGCTTGTTTTGTCATGTAACTGTTTTACAGCCAGAAAAATTATTTTACCAACCTGTAAACCCCCAAGTCAGCATCTTAGCATCATCACCTCAGAGAGGAAAGACAACATGTCATAAGCTAACATGAAACCCATGGCAGAGCCCAGTATAAGACATAAGCACTCAGTGTTTTTTACTTTCAGTACATTGCCTTGAACTTGGCTGGGGAGAAAAATTGCAATTTTAAAAACAATGAGTGTTTTCAGACACAATGCTGGGAATCTGGGTGACTGCATGTAAATGTCATGGAGCTGCATTTACATCAGAGTCATTCGGTCAGAGTTTGGTTTGCTGTGTGTCAGCTGATGGCCCTTGCAGTCCCCATCATTTAGCTGTTGATATTGTCAAAGGAAGCTTGAGAAAATCACAGCAGGAGCTGTGTTTTGGGTCAAGTTATACTTGTGCATCCAAAGCAAATACTAGAAAGTGAAAAGAATCCAGAGGTCGCTTTGTCCTGAGCCTGCTTCCACTGAGACAAAGGAGAGGGTTAGCTCCTCCAAACCAAGACGCTCTTTCAGCATCTCAGTTTAAAAGCTTCTGGGGACAGCAAGAGGGATCCAGATCCACAGGGAGAAATCTCTGCCTGACGCACAGTGAAAACTGCATTACAGTGACTGACTTCCTCCTGCTGAGGGTATATGAGGCTACTCTCCCACTTTCATTCAGGCCCCTGTAGAGAGGTGGTCCTGGCATACTGGCAGCAAGCCAGGCAACAGCTGTGACGCTCTGGTGCTGTGGGCACCCCAAGAGGTTCAGAAGATCAGAGTGGTGAGAAACTGGTCAGAGCAGCTGTCTGGGCTGTTCTCAGCCACCTGGAAAAACCCCAAGGCCATGGAAAAAAATAAAAAAAGACAAAGACAGCCCTGCAGCTTTTACCTTAGCATGAGCAGTGAGGTATGAGATCTGCCTATCCCTAAACCATTATGTTTTCCGGATGTGCTCTCTGCTTCCCAACACCACCAAAGGCTGTCACTGAAACAGATTTATGGGACTGTCTGCTGTAAAGTAAGTCTGGGGAGGGAAGAGCAAGGAGCCACACATTCCCCCTCAAATGAATAAGCAATTCAAGAATTCCCTTCAACTTGTGGTAGCATTTCACTTTCCAGTGAACAGCTCTATAAATTTCACCTATTGGTGTGAAGTAAAGATGTCTTATGGTTGTCCAGACTGAGCTATGATTGACTTAAAGTCTAACAAATAATTTCCTTAAAGTCTAACAAATCAATCTCCTCCCACTGTGCCTTTAACCATGCTACACACAGCAATCCCTTTTCCTTTAAAGATAACTGGGAAGGGAGGGAAGAGCTGTCACCAGCACCTAATGAATGAATGAATGAATGTTGAGCCACCCTATAATTTCCCTCTATTTGGCTATAGGAACATGAGAAAAACAAGCAGAGCAAAAATCCTCTGGCAAGAAGCAGGCTGATCTCCTGAGCATCACATCATGCCTGTGCTGTCAGGAGGCAAACCGCTCCCTGGGAGGCTGAAGCAGCTGCTTCCTCAGTAAGGTATGCGGTGCCGAAGGAAGGACGAGGTGTCAATGGGAGCCTCACCACAAAAGGCTTTTTGTTGAAAGGTGCTACACAGCATTGCGTGTTGTGGTGGAGGGGACACAGTAGAGTATTTCCAGCAGGAGATGGTGCATTTGTACCAAATCAGTGCGCATGCTATTTTCTCTGTTGGAATATTGTCATTGTCCTTTATTACATTAAAGGGGAACATCTTTATCTCATGGTGATTTGGGTGGGATGTGACATTGCCTAATGTAAAAGGGGCCTGTAATATCAAGGAGACAACCGTGAAATAACACATTACACACTGAATTGAACAGCAGGCTCATTTACATCCCTTTAATTTGGAAATATGAACATTCAGAAACCCTCTTCTCCACTTGCATTCCCTTATTTGGGAAACATGTAAATTACATTTATGATAATTTAGTATTTAACTGGTACAAGCATTGCGAATTCCAGAAGCAAACGCTTTAAAATAGGCAGGAGCTGTGCCAGCCTGCTTTGCAAATGCGTGTGGTAAAAACCACCTCTGCGGATGACTTTGAATGCAGCACCTCCAGCTTCTGGACTGCACTTGCAAATGCTTGTAAAGCAGATGGGACAGCTGGGGTGAGGCTTGCAGGGCTGGACCTTTTGTCCCAGTCACAGCCTAGGCTTATCACATTTGGCAGATGGATTTAATTAATAAACCGTCTGTATCACCTCTTCTGTTGTGTGTAGAGTCTTTTTTTTTTCTTTTTTGCAGCCTCTGAGATCCCAGAATTGCAGATGAAAACAACAGCAGAGGAGCTTTCACATCAGCCATTCTCAGATGATGCTGAGAGGCCTCTTCTATGATAATCCCAATGCTACATTTTCCAGTTTCGCCTTAGAAACCTTCTACCAGTGGTGACTCATATTCAGTTGCTCATCAGACAGTTTATTCTATTGCCTGTGTAAGAGCCCTTATTATGAATTCATTTCTCTTGTATCTAAATGGGATTGTTCCACTTTTAATTTGAGACCCTTTTAGCATCTCTGATGCAGGGAAGGTCCATCTTAACAGCACACATTAGTGCTCATCTCAGTGCTAGCTGGGGATTCCTCCTGCCCTGTCGATTGCTTTCTGTCATACTCCCACCTTCAGTTCCCTTTGCCATTCCTGCTGCCCATCCTCTGACACTTTTCTGTGCTCTTTTTAGAAAATGAGGCTTAAAAATGCTTGCTGTGCTCCAGCTCTAGCCTTACCCAGAATGCAAAATGCTGCACTCATCACTCCCTTTCTGTCACACAGCACTTCCCTCTTTACTCTATACACCCTGTAATAGAGATTGCTCTCCTCACAATGTAACCTCTTACAGTCTTCATTACCTACTACAATCCGAAGGTATTTTCCTATATTAATGTTTTCTAAATATTTGTGTTGATTGTTGCTATTTCTCTCCAGGTGCACTACTGTCACATTCATCAATATGAGGTAAATTTTATTTTGTTGACTTCTTCCTGTGATTCAGAACCTGCCAGGTAATTGTGCAACTGGGACTTGCTATCCCTTTTCACCTATTCGTTTTATATTTTATTGCTTTCAGTGCTAGTAAGGTTAAATACAGCATAGCCTCATATAAATCAGATGCCTAGAGTACAGAAGGGAATAAAAATATTGGGATAAATAACTGCAAGTTGAAAATGGAATTTTTATTTTAAAAGCAAGAAAAATTAATTATTTTTCATTAAATATAACAGCTGGATTTAAATTTTTCCCTTTTGCCCAAACTTGAATAAAAAGAGAGAAGGTAAGGAAAAAAACCCTTCTTTTAAAAAAAAATGTTGAAAATCTTTGTCAAACCTAAACTTTCATGTTAGCATTTTCATCTGCTCAATACATCCTTTGGGGGCAAAAGTGTTCGGAGCAATTCTGACAGAGGCTGTGAGAAGGCAATACTTGCCTTTTTTTCTGCCAGTTTCACAGAAGGGACAGTACAGAAATCATTGCTCTGAAAAACAGTTCATCCCTTCAGAAGAGCTCTGAAACATTTGCCTGCAGTGAATCAGGAGCCATGGCTCAGTGAGCTTCCACGTGTCTTTGCTGTGTGAAGCAGGGACTAAAGCAAGCACATGCTGTAGAAACTCAGACAACAGCAGTCCTTTGAGCAAAATTTTATTAAAACAAAAAACCAAAATCGCCATAACAAAAAACTAAACGCAAGCAAAATGTGTCTGAAAACCAGAAATGTTAGCATATTCATTTCTTGATATTGTCCATAGCCTTTTATATATTCATGCATAGTTTCCTACAGAAACTTGCATAGCTTAAAGACAAAGGAAAAGTCGGGGAGAATCTCGTCTGTAATAAGAACGGTACATCTAAATAGATGTCTAGTTAATAAAAAAAGTCTTTACTCAGAGACAGTAGTCAATGGACTGAGTTCAGAGAATCAAATGAGAGTGTCATGCCCATTCCTCAGGAATACTCAGTTTACAAATCATCTGTCATGCACTGCACACTGAAACCCTATCAGAACACGTACCTGCTACTGGAAGAAGGTGCGAGAAGCTGTGGGCATATGTTTTCTATCAGGGGCTGACGGTGCTTCTGAAAATTTCATCAGATTATGTCTGCTGTTTGGCACTAAAATAATCCTGATTCTTTTCATAGAGATACAAAGAAAAACACTGTTTGACATGCCTCTGTGGATGGCTGACTCCCAGATGCCATTATCAGCTTGTGGCAAGCATCCTAAAGTTCCTTTAACCTTCTTAGTAAGTCTACCTTGTACCTATTTTGCTCATTCCCAGTAGATTTGAGGAACACTGGTTTTGGTTATCCCTAAGGCAAGGATGTGTACAGGAGGGGAGCCAAAACAGGACTCCTTGATTACCTGAGATTTGGTCTGACAGATTCATTTTCAGTAATTGCGCCTGCACAGCTGATTTAGGGCTCTTCAGCAACTCGTAGTGCAAGGTGATTTCTTTGAAAGTAAATACCCAGCAGTCAGGACTATGACAGGTGTTACAGATGGGACTAGTAATTCACTTAACTGTGTCTCTAGCCTCCTCTTTTCTATACATTTCACCTCAATATTCTCCTGGGCAATCACTAGCCCTGCTAAATTTGTGGTTCTCATTTAATTCCTTGACATGTTCTTTTTTAAGGCTTTATTTTCAGATATTGAAGTACAAGAAATTGCTTTTGCCCTCAAGCCTTGGTTTCCAGAAAAGCAACAAGAGACTTCACTCTTGGTAACTAAAACGAAATGCTTTCTGTTTTTGCGTGATCATCTCTGAGGGCTTTTCTGAGCACAACTGCACTTTTTCACAACAGTCCATGTTCCCAATGGAAGCAAATCTTTTCCTGCTCTGCCAGTGGAGGGCACAGTGCTTGGACCAAGCACTGGTGATAAAGAAGTAACTTAATTCAAGATAAACGTCTTGTGTTTAGAGACAGTCAACATATTCCTCTGCCCCAGGGCTTCTTAATTTACCATACAACAGGGGCTCCCCTGGGTGGGGGGATCGAGCTGCAGGGAATCAGGTTCGGGGACAACCCTATAGCAGAAGTCACCCAGTGCACACCAGAGTGTCTTCTTTGGAAACAGGCCCGTGGTCATACAGGCTGTGGTCACATAGCCCATGGTCATACAGCCTGTGACATGGCTCTGGTTAAGAGGTAAGTGCTGCAGGGGGCACCTCCCTGAGGAGGGATGTAGATGCATGTGTAGATGCCATGCACAAGTAGTCATTCTTTTCATGGCATTGCATCAGAAATGTTACTGTAATCATTGCAAATTATGTCTGCTGTGTAATCCTTTCTTTCTTTTATCTAGTCTATAATTACAGCACCTACAAACAAACAAGCAAAAAAACCTTATTGGATTTTTCTGTCATGATCTATGTTTAGGGCTTGGCAGGATCCAATTTTAATTTCAACTTCAATGATAACGCTTTATTACCCGTGTTCTTTATTTATAGTTACACACTGCTTATTTATACTGATGTAAATATTTTTCGACTTGCATCCAGGGAAGCGCTACTATCATGGGCTGAAAGAAAAGCAGCTTGTCTCTTTTGAATAGCTGGTGTGATTTCAAAGAGATGGGGCCTACAAATTCATCTGCCATCACAAAATTTAGCCCTTAATCTATACAGAAAAGAAATGACAAATACATTACAAAACCCTTCCTGACAGAGCCTGTCCATGCTCTGTTTTCTTGGAATACTGCACAAGGTGACAACATGAATCACAAGAAACATTCAATGTGAGCTTGGGCAAGCTAGAAAATGCTCTTTTTTCTTTGGAGGAGTGAGAAATAAATAGTGTTATTAAAAACAGAGATGAGATAAGAAAAAAATATTGTTCTAAGTATTTTGTGCATTTAGATAGCCCAAGAAGATCCCATATGGAATATGAGCAAGTGTTAACAGAAAGATCATTAATCAAGTAATACGCCTACTGGAAACAAATTCCACAACACCTCAGAAAAAAAAAACGAAAAAAAGTTAGCCCATGGTTAGATAACTAAATGGATGTCAGTGTAGGAGCTTTATTGCAGAGAGGAAGCAGCATGAGATTGGGCAGCCACAGGTCAGGCATCTCATCATCCAGCTCTCCAGTACCCCAGTACTTCAGTAACAATCAGCTGATACCCAATCAGTGGAAAAAATTTCCTGAATAAAAGCTGCTTGATAGAGCATGAGAGTGTCCATTGGGAGGAAGCCTCTGGTTTATCTAAGAGAATTGATTCCCAAGACTGCAGTGTGACCTTGTGTGGGGACAAAGACCAGGTTTCCTCTGACTCCAGTCAAGCTGAAGGATTTCCCAGCACAAGAAAGCAGTGGGACTTTCGGCATGTTGTCTGCATTCCTCCAACCACAAAGGTCACTTCCCTCCCAAGGTACCCAGGTAGGAAGCTCCTTTTTCATCTTCTCCCAACAAGCAGGGCTGTCCAAGGCAGTGTTGCTGGGAACTCTAGTTGTTGTTCAGCAATGCTGAAAGCTGAGAAATACTATGTCAAAATTTTCATGCATAAAGGGAAAGCCTTAATTTTGAAAGAATTTTAATAGCAAAAAATAATTGGTCCCTACATGCAGTAAACATGGGAGTTATTGGTTCGGGGCTGCAGAGCGGGTAATGGGAGATGACTGCTACCATCTTGATGTTGATATTTTTGCTGAATGTTTTGGCACAGCAAATCAAAAAAAGCCAAGGCTATAACTGTTTTCTGTTGTCACCTTAATAATCTTAAGTGCTCTGAGAAAATTGCCACTAAACATTTTACATGAAGTATTTGTGGAACAGGCCTTAAGAATTATTGTTAGCAAGAGAATAACAGATATTAATGAGCATTTTCCTCCAGCTAGTGTACCAGTGGAGAATTTGCAAATCCTAATGTGCACTAAATTTGAAAAGTACAATTTTAATACTATCATGAAGAGTATTTAAATCTGAAAGAAAATTACCAGCTAACTAACTAGGGGATCTGAAGTACAATTGTCAGAGCTGAAACATCCTTGCTTCCCCACACAAAAAGAACTAAGTTCATCAACCTCAAAGTTTTTATTCAATACTCCATTGCCAGGAAATGTTTTCAAATTCAGATGAAAGGAAAAAAAATAAAAATCCTAAATATATCATTAAAAGCTTTGTGTAGCTAGTAAGACAGACATTAGGTCAACTTGGAGTCCTTGATTTATGCCAGAGATGTAGCCATTCATCAGTACAAGAGAACTGAATATCCAAGACTTGTGTAACAAGATGCTGTATTTTTCTACTTGCAATGAACAGCTCTATACCAAGTCAGAGAAGAAAGCAATCCTCCAAACCCTCCTTACTTGACAGGTTTGGCAAAAATGCCTTCGTGATGTAGTTCAGTTCTTTAATAGGTCCAAATTAATAGCATCTTTTGGTCTACCCTGAAATTTGATGTACCTCACAGAGATCGTAAGACTGAAGTTGTGGACTGAGGGAAGCAGACAGGATGCATTGGTTTGTGGAGGTGTTTCTCCCTATAACAGGTGCTCTTTCAGCAATATGTGCATGGGTGAATAAGTACAGATGTGTGTGAAGATTGGGGGAAGCAAACCATGGTTTCTCAATAAGCTCAGTCTCTCAGCATGTACTCTGCTGTGTCTTGACATCAGTTCACCTTTGATGACACAATATTGGCAGCAAACCTCAGGAAGCATCTGGTTGCCTTGGTAGGTAAATGAGTAGCAGCTGGGAAAAAAATTGAGTTCGTGTGGGGACAGAAGCATTGAAGGGCTTTCTGAGCTATTGATTTTTGTACGTGCTCAAGGGAGAACAATGAGGAAACAGATTTTGTGTCAGCTCAGTTTACCCAGAAATTTCTATAGTTTGCCGTGCAGCCAGATTAATTGAACCTGGTTAACACTGCTTAATAACCAGTACAAATGATCTCTAAAGCAAAAATGCTTGAGAAAAATCTGCTCCAAATTCTTGCTAAAGGATCTTACGTCGCTACACAAAATATTTTGTGTGAATCGTAGAATCATAAAATATCCTGAGTTGAAAGGGACCTATCAGGATCACCAAAGTCCACTTCCTGGCCTTTCATAGGACCAGCCCAAGAATCACACCTGTATGCTTGACAGTGCTGTCCAAATGCTTTTTAAACTCTATCAGGCTTGGTGCTGTGTCCATTCTCCCAGTTCCAGTGCCCAACCATCTTCCGGATGAAAAACCTTATCCTAATATTCAATCTAAACCTTCCTTGGCACAATTTCAGGCCGTTCCCTTGGGTCCTGTCACTGGTCACCACAGAGAAGAGATCAGTGCCTGCCTCTCCTTTTCCCCTCACAAGGAAGTTGTAAGTTGTGATGAGGTCTCCCCTCAGTCTCCTCCAGCCTGAACAGACCAAGTGACCTCAGCTGCTCCTTGTGAAGCTTCCCCTCAAGGCCTTTCACCATCTTTGCTGCTCTCCTTTGGACACTCTCTAACAGCTTAATGTGTTTTTGTTTTTTTTATATTGTGGCACCCAAAACTGCACACAATATTCAGAGTGAGGCCACACCAGTGCAAAGCAGAGCAGGACAATCACCTCCCTCGACCAGCTGGTGATGCCCCCCAGGACAGGATTGGCCCTCCCTGCCTGCCGGGGCACTGTTGGCTCATGTTCAACTTGCCGTTGACCAGGATGCTCAAGTGTCTTTCCATAGCAGTGCTTTCCAGCATTCCATCTCATTCCCCAGTCTATACGTACATCCAGGGTTGCCCCAGCCCAGTTGCAATATGGCACTTGTCTTTGTTAAACTTCATGCGGTTGGGGATTACACAGCCCTCTAATTTATCAAGGTCTCTCTGCAGGGTCGCTCTGCCTCTGAGGTAGTCGATAGTTTCTCCTGGTTTAGTTTCATCAGCAAACTTACTTGGTACACCTTTGTGTCCTGGTCATTTACAAAGATGTTGAAGAGATAACATGTTGAAGAGAATATGGAGGTCTATCATAGGAGAAAACCATCAGCTGGGATGGCCATTGCCCAGCTACGTGGCCCAGCTATCCTTTTCATGTATCAATGGGGTGCTAGGGTTATTCTTGTCCAGCTTCTGCCTCTGCCCTCTGCAGGGCTGGATCTCAGGTGTCCTGAACCATGCAGCTGCTGGGTAAGCAGAGGACACAGCATCTCTTCCCCCCACACTCCACAGGTTTTCTGCTCCTGTCCAACCTCATCCTGCTCCTACAGACACTTCAGTTATTTTAATTTTGCAAGAACCTGCATGATACTAAGATACATTTCCAAGCCCCTGTATTCCATGGATTCCTTACATCTTTCCTTGCAAGCACGTACAGCCACTGCACAGGTTGCACTTGCTTTAGGACTGTAGCTGCTTCTGCATATGATGCTGTGCTCATTCCCTCACTGACGCCTCTGTGTCAAAGGTCCCCTCAAAATAATTCATACAGAGGCAGTGGGTGCAAGATGGCAGTTAATAGCCATTTTCACACAACCTTTTGAGAAATATCTGTACCTAGAGCCAATTCAAAACACAAGTCTTCCTTTCCATGCATTTTTCTCTCTGCTGCTCACTCAGCTCTAATCATTAAGACCTGATCACTTCAGTAAAGATGAATACATTGACAGAGTATTTTTGTGTCCTGTTGTTCAGAAATCATTGTTCCTGTCACACAATAACTGTAATTACTACTTTTCTAGACCTTTGGCTGATTGTCTAAACAGAAGAGGGAAAAAAAAAAAACAGCTGAAAAAGGACGATGTAAAATCGGACATCTTGGAAATAGAAATAACCTCTTGCCTCTTGCTATTAAAGTTGTTCCCTTTAGGTCAGAGCCCATATGCATGCACATGTGCACACACTGCTTCCTGTACTCCATAGTGCCTGGGGTAGTTTGTCTAGTTTTAAATTGGCCAAAGTAGATGAAGGGTGGCAGAAGGTTATTTTTAATCTGTTAAATATGTTATGGGAGACTGCTGTGGCAAGGAAGCATAGAAAGTGGGGGAAGGCAGAGGGAAAACGTAAAGTAAGTTTGTGTGAATTAAAAGAGCACATGATTTCAAAGTTCCTGGTGCCAGACTTTTATAGTAGCAAAAAAAGATCTTTCTTTTTTTCCTATTTTTCTTATTCCATGAGAGGACATGTCCCTATGTCGAACATGGGAGTCTTGGTTTGGCTGAGTCTGTGCTAAAGGGATAAGTGACAGCCTCACAATTGGACTTTTCCAGAAAGCTCCTGGCTGTTTACATAGTTCAGCATAACAAGGAGTGTCACCACTAATACACTGAGGAGCTATGGATTTTGAAACACACTGTTAGCCTGCCTGACTCTGGGAGATGGTGGGACCTGACCAGACAGGCAATCAGAGGACATCCTTTTCCCTGGGCAGCTGTCAGGTCCCTGCTATTCCCACTCCTTCCTCTTTGAAATATCAATTTATTCCTGCTTCTCATGCTTAATATGTCTTCTTTTTTCCCCTTTTTTTCTTCACTTTATATAAGAGAATTCTTAGCAATTTCAGACAGGTCCAGCTGTGGTTAATTTATCATGGAGAAAGTAATATCAAATGGAGCAGTGCTGGGGAAACAAACAACCCAGTGCAAAGCCTGCCCCTAATTGATTGATGAAAGGAAAATTAGGGCTGCCTCCAGAAACAATTTCCATAGCAATGGGAATAGAGAGCAAGCTGTGCTGAGAATTGTGGGTGAGCCACTGCAGCTCTTTGGCCTCCGAATTCCTGGGCACATCAGCACCAGCAGCAAAGTGCCAGCCAGTGTGCCTGGGGCTCCCAGCAGCAGCCAGTGGTGGATGCAACAGGTTGGCATGGGACCACTCCCCCATTGATGGACCCCCAGAGCAGGGCACTGCACAGTGCCCATGGTCAAGCCCAGTCAGGGAGCTGTGAACACAGTGCTGTACTGAGGGATGGAGATTAACTTCCTCCCCCAACTCTGCTACCCCCAAAAAGAAACAGATGCCATTTTTTGTGGTCTTTTCTGTTTCTTTAAGGCACGAAACAAAATTCTGCCTCAGCCCAAGTACCACTTCAAACAGACTGACTTTCTTTTATTGTCTCTGTAACAAAGTCATTCAGGAGACTTCCCAGCAAGGGTTTTTGCCCTTCAGAAAAATTCCTTCAGGTACCATGAACAATTGAGACACACGGGCAATTATTGAGACCACATTTTTGGGTTTGATGGTTAAGGTAGCTTGCTTTAAAATTGACTAATGATACAGGGTATGTCTTTAATTTGCTTGATTGGAGATGTCTTAAGGAAGGCTTCATTTCACAGAAGGAAGTCCACTGCAGGAGTCTCAGGGTGGGGAACCACAGTTGTCCACATTGCCAGCTGCTTTTGAAAACCTTGTTCATGCAAATTTGTGTGTGTACCTTTTGTTTGTCAGGCAGGCCACAAAAAGCAAAATTAAGTTCCTGGCAGCTAAATAATGAGCAAATGTTACTCTTAATTTGGTGTAGTACAAAATTACGAGTTTACAAATTTTAATATACCTTAGAGAAAAAA